TGTGTGTGTGTGTGTGTGTGTGTGTGTGTGTGTGGAGCGCGGCCTGGGCACTTGTGTGTGTGTGTGTGTGTGTGTGTGGAGCGCGGCTCCCTCCCTCCAGGCACTGGGCTGGAGGCCCGTCTCCACCCCCAGCTCGGATTACAGAGACCAAATCTCCAGGAACCACCAGTCACAGGGCCTGGGCTGGGGTCTCCCTGAAGCCTGAGTTCTCTGCAGCCTGGGCTTTGTTCCACGGTGGCTCCTTCAGGCCCAGGCGCTGGACAGGGGTCTGAGGCCCCACCCCCAGGCCGGGCCAGACAAGGCCAGGCCGGGCCCAGCCCTCCCCCCAATCACACAGTAACCAGGGTTGTGCAACAGCAGCTGCGGGCCCGCGCCAGGCCTGGGAGGGAGGGACCAGCCAGCAACAGCCAGGGGAGACAAGCTGGGTCCCCAGGCCCCAACAGGCCAGGCCAGAACCCGCCTCTACCTGAGAAGCCAGCTTTGGGTGTGGGGCACCCAGGAGGGTTTTAGGCAGGGCTAGGAGATGGCCGTCAGAAGCCCTGGGATTCCTGGACCGTCAACCTCACGTCAGCGGGCAGCCTCTACGGCACAGAGACTGACAGGGGCCCCCTGCCAGCTCTGCGCTCTGGCCTCCAGAGGTTGGGGGGCGCAAGGGGTACGATATACTGATAATTTCTGCTCCACTCCTCCAGCGCTGGAGAGTTGGGGAGGGGGGCAGAAACCCCAGGTCGGGGCCCTGACCTGCCCTCCACCAAGACCCCTCCACCCCCCGTGGGGTGGGGCTCGAGGAGGCACGTGCCCGCGCCCCACCCACCACCCCTGCGCACACCAGCGCACGTGTGCGCACGCCCACCTCGGCGTGGCGCGCGGGACCCTGGCTCACCTCTGCGCAGGCACCGGGATGTGCGCCGACGGCTTCGGGGGCCCCACCGCCGCCCCCACCCACGTCCCCGGGACCCCTCGGTTGGCGGCTCGCGGCTCCGGCTCCCGAGGCAGCACGAACTCCAAGCTCGCAAAGCCGCCGCCCACGGCAGGGCCCTGCGGAAGGGGCAGGCTCAGCGCAGGCAGCGGCACGGGGGTTCCCAGCCCCCACCCCGGATCCGCTCCGCACCCGCCCCCCAAACCGGCTGCGGCCGGTGGGGACGGCGCGGCCCCGCCCCCGGCCCCGCCC